TTTTTTTTTTGTTTTATTGCCCGATTCCCGGCTGTTTTCCTTTCGAAACCCTTCTCCCTGCCCGCCACCGGTACGAAACAGGAAGACAAAAACGCAGTGCTGTCCGGTGCGCGCCATGTCTGTTACCTACACATGGCTATATTCTTGAGAGGCAAAGATTGCTTGTTATCTCGCCTCAAATCCATAACCCGATTTCAGGTCCTTTTCTACTCCCCCTCCTTTTCATGGTTGTTACTTTTTTCTTTGAGGCAATTTGTCGAACACTTCTGCTACAAAAAGTGTAGTTATCGATTTTTTTTTTCTTTCTTCAGAGGTTTAACTACACATTGGATGAAGGTGGATTTCAAGCTAAGTACAAGTTCAACCGTGAAATGGGCTTTGCTTCTAATTCCAAAAATTCTCATATTGGTATGCTTTATTTAACTCAACTTGTCAAGCATTTTTTTTTTTTTAAATGCGCATAGGTGCTAAACGCTAATGTGTATTAATTTCTTGAAGGTCATGAAGCTGACACGTCGAAATGGAAAAAAATCGATGCACGTAAGTTTGGGATAACTCGTGATATGATTCCATCTCCATCTTTGGTTGTGTTGAAGATACTACGCAACAATGGTAATCTTCTTTTCATTTGAAACGCCATGTACTTTTGTTGACATATAATATGCCTCTATGTTTTGCACCTTGTCTGATTGATGTACTTTTTCACATCAATTTGGCACCTAATTTTGAACTTTTTATTGCCAAACTTTCCAAGCTAGTTTCTTTAACTCAATGCTTATTGGGCTTTCCATTTAACTAAGTGGGTTTTTACTTTTCGGAATAAACATGTTTTGAACTTTGCAGTGTTGCAGTAAAGTCAGTGAGTTATATATGATGCTTTCCTTGGATGAAATTGATAATTTATTATATCGAGTATTGCAGGTTTTGAGGCCTACTTAGTTGGTGGATGTGTAAGAGATTTACTGCTACAGAGAATACCTAAAGATTTTGATGTGGTCACCACTGCTGAACTTAAACAGGTTTGGTAGTCTTGCTTTGATACTTCTGTTTCAAATGATCTATTCTTAAGCCAGAATTTCATGATAGACATGGATTAATGTGTAGCATTTCTACCAATTGATATCATGTTATTACAGATCAAGAAGAAATTCAATCGTTCTCATATTATTGGAAAAAGATTCCCTATATGTGTAGTGCATATAAAAGGCTCTGCAGTTGAGGTCAGTTTGTTGGTCTAGAACGATTAGGGGATTATCTCTGGGGTGCAATTTACTGGAATGAATGATCAATAGTAGTTTTTAGTATTCAGACTTAAGTCTTAATTTGATTTGTAGTTTTGATCTTTCATGATTAGGTATCCAGCTTTGAAACTGTGGCCAATAATGCTAAAGCAAATGAAGACGTTTTTAAATCCCCTCTTTGTGATGAGAAAGACTTCATCCGTTGGAGAAATAGTACGCAAAGAGACTTCACAATTAACAGGTGTTAATTATTTATTTATTCATGAAAGAAAATTTTTGTATTTTATGCTGACTTGTGGGAGATCTTTTAAGCATTCTTCCCTTTTTGTGCTCAACCCCATTTCTTCTTAGAAGCAACTTCTGTGCTATTATACTATGGATTGAGTTTTTTCCTAACTTAGCACATGTACTCTTTTGAAATTGTGTATGCAGCTTATTTTATGATCCTTTTTCAAATAAAATCTATGATTACACTAATGGAATGTCAGACCTCAGATCGTTAAAGGTGATTCTATTGCTTCACTCAAAACATTATCATGCATTACTCTATGTTAACTGAGATTCTTCCCTCCACCATCTGTTTTGTGATATGGGCTCAGCTACGGACATTAATTCCTGCTCATTTGTCTTTTAAAGAGGATTGTGGTATGTCATTTTATCTTTATTTGTTTATAATCTCTAGCACAAAAATATTTGGATAGGGTGATTGATGCAAAAGAGAAAAGGTAATGCAATTCCTCTCATGCAGCAAGAATTCTACGAGGCTTGAGAATTGCAGCTCGTTTGCACTTGTCATTTTCAAAGGATACTGAAAGGGCAATGTGTGATCTCTCATCTTCCATTGAGGGATTAGATAAGGTACCTAAGACAGGTTGATTGAGACTATTGTGCTGCCTAATTAAACTTTTTTTGTTTCCACTTGTTTTCAGATTTTAAAACTTTTTGTTCTTTTTTTCTACCATACCAATCTTTTTTTTATTGTTTTTGTGGCCTCTTCTTGTATTTTAAAATAAAACTGTTGATTCAAACTACTTTTCAAAACTCTGGTTTTGCCCTTTCATTGATGAAACTTATCAAGGTGTCATTCCTACTTATACAGTTCAGACTAATGTTGGAAATGAACTACATGATGTCTTATGGAGCTGCAGAGTCTTCTATTTGCCTGCTCCAGAGATTCAACCTGCTGGAGATTTTACTTCCATTCCATGTATGTGCTTTTTCCTGCTTCTAAAGTCGCCGCATTATTTGATGCTTGCTTATGATCATCAGTACAGATTTAATTGTCACATGATTGCATGCAGGCTGCCTACCTTGACCAACAGAAATCTGCTCAGAATTCAGTCATGCTGATGGTGAGCTCCGCTTCCCAGAGAACAAGTTCTTCTCTGTATTGTAATATTATAGCAGGTCAAGATCCTTGTTAGGTATAACATACAGGGATCCAGGCTCTAAGTGGCTATTCAGTTTAACTTGACTTTATCAATCTAGCTATCAACTATCTATTAGTTGGATAAGACTATTCAACCTGAGGTACATTTTTAATGACATTAGTTTGGAGAAATGTCAGGCTTCCTTTTGTTGTTATGGTCTGAGTTAGGTAATACTGAAGCATGTTAAGATAGATAGAAAGATTTGTATTCTTAGCAATATAAGTGGAATGCTTCTCTAATTTGGTTAATAATTTAAGAATATTTGTAATCCGCAAAACTGATATATCAAATATCTTGTAAAATAGTTTTATCTGGTTTTGTCTACCTCAAACTAAAGTGAAAATTTACATATAATCCTCAAATAAGTTGAGAAATTTATTAATTTTACATGGCAATCCATGATGGAGCCATTGAACAAGGGCCTATTTGAAGCTTTAATTCTTTTTATCATATTGAAGTGATATTCAAATTAGTTCCTATTGTTTGTGTATCTATACTGCTTCCTTGCAGTCCTTTTAGATATTTCACTTGGAATTTCAGCCTTGATGTTCTTACTTGCTTTATGTATTGTCCTCTTTTATTCTAAATTTTGGGCAGAAATTGCTTTCCAATTTGGATAAGTTGCTTTCATGTGAACAACCTGCTGATAGCAGTCTCTGGTAAGCTAACTGTTTGCCCCCTTTTTTCTTCATAATTATGAAGTATCAAGATGTCATTATCGCTTCTAAGATCATTATCATCATTTACTGAAATATTAGTAGTATCATTTCATCATAATATCATCACTATCATCATGTACTTGGATATTGGACTCAGTAGTTAGATATTTTCAATCTTTGTATAGTTTTATAAGAAAGCTGGTTATTCTCCATTTAAACCTGTCTGCTAGTCCAGCAAGATTTTTCTTAGAAAGAATGTGTAGAGAGGATTAGAGGTCACTGCAGATATTCATCCATAAAAGCCAGACTGAGATGTATCAAAGCATTCACAGATTTCTCTGATTATTGATTGCAAAGGAATTAATCCATGGAGGGGAATTCCTTTT